CCGTCAGCTATGTGGATACAGAAATGGCATATGAGGAATAAAGAGAACGTTAGTTAATGTGCGCGATAAAACGAATTAGTTTTTGAGAGTAAATTGTTAGTTATGTGGTGTGAGGAAGGTTACAGCTGTAGAGCTAGATAGATAACTATGTGGAATAAATCGGTAAGTATATGCAGTAAATGGTTAGCCTAATATATAATACAGAGCAGCTATGTGCACTAGATTTCTGACATGTACGGGCAAGATTGACGTCGGTGAACGGGGGAAGCTACCTTGCCATCCGACGTTAAGATCTAGCCATAGATTAGCCTTAGCCTCTGAGGAGTAAAAGTCTTAGCTATTCGTAATACAGGAGCCAGCATATATGCTACTAGCTATTCGCCGACAGGTTAAGGGTGGTGACTCGTGTGACGGGGAAGCTACCGTTGCCATCCGACGCTGTCCATCCCACAGACGAGCGTAGAGTCGCATAGAGCTAGCCTTTAGCTCATTTGAGATATCGCGAGGAAAATAGCTAGGCTGCTAATACGTGTGACGGGGGAAGCTACCTTGCATCCGACGCTATCCACCCACAGACGAGCGTAGCGCCGCATAGATTAGCCTTAGCTATGAGGATATGCGGAGTAAAAGGTTAGCTATGTGTAATACAGCTACCTTGCATCCGACGCTGTCCATCCACAGACGAGCGTAGCGTCGCATAGAACAGCCTTAGCTATGAGGATATGCGGAGTAAAAGGTTAGCTATGTGTAATACAGCTACCTTGCATCCGACGCTGTCCATCCACAGACGAGCGTAGCGTCGCATGTACTCGTCGCGGAACTTGACGTCGTGTGCGGCGATAATGAATAGATACAGACCCATGAGGAAGTCCGATGCTGCACACGTAGAAAAATCTGGGGTTACAATCACCGACGGTTACCATGACAACGGTTACAAAAGCGATATTAACGTGGGACCGCGCTGTCAAAAACAAAATGAGTCTTAACATTAACTGTTGACAGAGCTTCGCAAAGTTGTGAGAAAATTTGTAGTGGCTAGAATTTTTTTTCGTTCTCGTAACTTTACAATGTTTTTGTCCACCGTCTGCGCGATTAGGTTAAGACTAATGTTAAGACAAATTTTGTGACTTACAACAGGCTCCTATTCTACGGAACGTATCTTCTCCCTTTTAGACGGTGTGTGTAACCCGCTCCCCACGGTGTGTTTGTGTGTGTGTGTGTGTGTGTGCGTGCATGTGTGTGTGTG